TTCCCATTTCATATACATAAGTATTATAATTGATCATTCTTTATCTGATATACATTTCCTTAAATATATTTGTCAAAAAAGAGGTCAATTTGGTTGTGATTGAGAAGAGAAATCATCAAGAATCCTTGAGTTTGTTTCTTTAGATTTTCCTTTAGCAGGATGCATTGTTTGTAATTTTCAAATTAGTAAGAGTTATTATACTCAGAACCAAATAGGTTGTTTAGTCAAGAGATAGTCAATGCAAATCATACCCCAAGAATTTTCAAGAGTTCATAATATATTATAAAGAAAAATTCTTTTATTTTCGCTTGTATTTTGTTGATACATAAAAAAGGCAAATAATTGTCATACACGTGATCAAAACATCTTACCCGGGGTGAAGATAAGCGCTTCTATTAAAACGATATTAGCTGATATATGCCAGCGCCCCCTAATACAATTGTTGTATTTGGTGATGGCATCTTCCTTATAATAATAATAAGGTTATACATAACATCACATGATAATAATTAATATCACGTGAATAATTGTTACACGCGACAAGATCATAACTGTAAAGATTTTAAATCCATCTATCTACTTTTGTTCCTAATACTAATTTGCATATTTCCAATATTTCCAATAAAGAATTTAATAAATAATGAAACTAAAAAATTCTCCATATAAAAATAGAAGCTTTTTAAATATCGAACAAGATGATACTGCAAATATTAATATTTCTCCAATTAGAAAAAGCATCTTTGAAAATTTTAAAGGAACGATAACAATTGATCAACAACATAATAATATTGCAAATATTATAAATTCACCAATTACAAGAAATATGTTTGGGTGTTTCAAAGAAGTTACAGCAACAACAATAAATGATCAAGATGCTATATATAATGAAAATTTTCCAACTAGAAAAAATCTTCTTGAAAGTTTCAAAAGAACCACGATAAGTGGTGATCAAGAAGAAGAAGAAGAAAAAATATTAGATAAAACACCTGGTACAAGTGGATCTACATGGAAATTTAATGCTCCAACTTATGTTGACTTTCTTAATGATTTAACTGACGTAGATGATCAAGACCAATTGTTCACAACACCAACTAC